CTTCTCCACAGTATGTCAGAAGTGAAATCACCTGTGCCGGATTTCTCATCCACGCTATTGACAGCAGTTCATGCACTGTAAGTCTGATGAAACATCTACAGGTTCATTTGCTCCTACAGATGTGAGAAACCCTTTACTCATATTTCCTGATTAATTGTAATTCTGCAATGTGTGTCCACACGAGGGGAACCCCAAGGTTATCCTTTCAGACCCACTCCAGGTGGTCCTCAGAAGAGAAGGGTTATGGCCTCCCCTATACAAATAAGATTCAGTTCTCTGCTTGGAAAAGCTCCATGTCAATAAGAAATTAAAACATTGTCTTTTCTTTTTGAAACAGGTATCTTATTTTAACCAGATTTCAGCTAGCATCTTGCCTTACTTTGCTGGAAATCTTGGTGGCTGGTCAAAATCCATTGAAGAGACAGCACGTTCCTGTATACAATTCATAGAGAATGCTACTGATGATGGGTCAATACACATATTTTAAGTGATAAACTTTCAATTACCTGTTTCCCACTTTTAATTCCATGCATCCTTATCCCTGATACTTGGCAAGCTTTGGGGCCACTGAATAATTTAATATTGGCCTAAGCAAAATGAAGTTAGGGAGAGGTTAAAACCAAAGTGCATCTCAGGTCAAAGACCATTGATTTGGACTAGCATTAAAAGAGCTTTTAAAGTATTTTAGTTCATCCATGGCTCTGCCCCATTCCATGGGCACAGTCATTAGAAAACTGCCCATATGCAATATTGTGTGTTCTGTAAAGTGGTACAAATTTGGTTAAAATGAGCTTAAACATTTTTAGGCTACAGAGGTGAAATGCATTGTTTGAAATTTTATAAAATCAAAAATGATAAAGTTGGCTAGTTGATTAATAGTGTGGGATTGTTCCATGTACAGCAGGTATCTGTATGTCAGGAGCATCTGACAAGATGTATTACATGTTTTAGAGCTTTAAATTAGGAAGACATTAAAGCATAATGGGAGCCAATCAATTTTAGTAATAGGAACTACTTTACCAGTGTCATTTAACATATATTCAAGGTGGCTGACCAATTTAATATCTATTGCTATATATACACATGAAAAGTACCTGGAAAATGTGTTATTACAGAAAAATAGAATATTAACTGAGCTCTTCTTTCATAACCATTACATTAGCACTTTACTCCCTAGACTTCAACATTCATTATTCTACTCTGTCTGTGATTTGCCTTAACTCACAAGACGAACCAGCATGTTAAGTCAGCCCCCTCTACAGGATAACTTTTAAAAGTTGAAGGACCTCTTCATTAGAGTTTAGAGCACTTAAGAGGTTAGATGCATCCGGCTGTTCATTTGTCAAATCTCTACATCTGCTCAGCAAATCTTATAGCTCTATGTTAAAAATATAATCAGTACCCAAGCCCTTATAATCAACTCTAGCACTGCAACCCTAATCCAAACACCAGCTCCTCTCACCTGGATTATAACAGTTCTATCCCTGTTATTGCTTCTCCCTTCACTCTCAACCCAGTAGATGATGTCATATTTCTTCTAAAAACCCATGAACAATTTTGCATATCACACAGTAAAAGCCAACACCTTATAATGGTCAATAAGGCTCTGTGTGGTATATGATTATTTTTCAGAAATGTTCACTCTCTCACCACCATCTCCACCTCCATAAATGGAGTGTACTATTCTACTTTTGTCCTCTTTACCATGTGACTTGTTCATGAAACATTAGCGTACACGATGCAACCAAAGGCCTGAAAAGTGTTTTTGCAAATGGACTTGCCCTCTTACATCTCTGCCACTGTCATGAGAAAAACATGTCAGGAAAAGAGAGACAGGAAACAGAGCTATTTCATCTGAGCCTGGCTTAGATTAGCTGACCCCAACCAAACTTCATATAGAAGTGATGGAGCCCAACTGAGATTAGCAGAGCACTCCAGGTAAACCCAGCCTAGATGTGACTCACCGGCATGAGCAAAATAAAGGTTTATGGTATTCTTTGGAGATTTTGTGGCTGTTCCACAGCAGAAACTAACTGGTAGAGCTTCTAGGCCATGGCCCCGGGAACTATCGCTTTTTCCTAGTAGTTGATCCCTAACTCTTTTCCAGTCATATTGGCCTCTTTGCTGTTTTTCAACTACCCAAGTGTGCTCCTTCCTCAGTATAATTGCAATTATCTATTATTTCATGTCAAGATAACCAAGGCTTACCCCCTATATACCCCTCTATATGCCTATACAATGGAATATTATGGATGAACCTTATAAACGTTAAGTGAAGGAAGCCAGTCACAAAAGACCACATCTTTCTGCCCCTCAAATGTGATAAGCCCTGTCTCCTCTTCAGGAGCTATATTTCCTCTCCCTAAATGTTCTTCCTGGTATCTTCCCAGCTGGTTCCTTCTTGTCACTCAGATATCAGCAGAAAACTCCCCCTCAGAGAAATTCTCTTATTTAAAGTAATCATTTGTTGCCCTGGCCGGTTTGGCTCAGCGGTTAGAGCGTCGGCCTGCGGTCCGGAGAGACCCGGGTTCGGTTCCCGCTAAGGGCACGTACTTCGGTTGCAGTTTGTCCCCGGCCCTGGTTGGTCGTGCGGGTGGCAGCCACTCGATGTGTCCCTTCACGTCGATGTTTCTCTCTCTCTCTCCCTTCCTCTCTCTCCCTCCCACTCTATCTGTACAAAATATGGAAAAATATCCTCAGGTGAGAATAAAATAAATAAATAAATAAAGTAATCATTTGCAACATCTCTGTTAACCCCCTTATATCACTCATTCATTTAATTCACTCAACAAAGTGGGTGTTTCTATGTGCCAAGTACTTCTCAGGATATAGTAATGAGCAAGTCAAAATTCCTGCCCTGATGTAACCTATAATCTGGTGGAGAGCAGACAAATAGTGTTAGGTAGGGGCATAAATTATGGAGAAAATTAGAGAGTAAGAGAATAAAAAGTTACTGGGATGAGGAAGGAGCTATTTCCTATAAGGCTGGACACAGAAAGACTATTAAGCTGACTGTAAGGCAGGCCTGAAGGAAATGAGGGAGGGTTGACCATGGGCTTAGGAGAGGAATACCAAGAAAAGAGCAAGCTGAGATTCAAGACTAGTGGCTTAGAATATGATTGTAGCAGGAAAAAAAAAAAAAAAAGACAAAAAGGGAAATTAGTCTTTTGTGTTTTTGTTTTCCAGGGGGAAGGGATAAGATTGTTTAAAGCCATAGAGTTTGAGGTATAAGTGTAACATCCAACAGGCAGGTGAGAATATGACTTACACCAGGGATATCAGGGCTAGATGTAAATTAAAGAGCCAGCCACAGAAGAGTGAAAGATAAGCTTGTAAGAAGAGATGAGATTTTCAAAGGACTAAAGGAAGAAAAGAATGCTACCCACTAAGTCTTAGGGGATCCAACAAAATATAAAATGTAATGAAAATATCACTTTGATAGTATTTTTCTGATATATGTTGTGATATTTCTGATACGTATTTTTTCCCTAAGTCTCTCCTACATTTTTCAGTCCCATTAGAATGCATTGGTCTTGTTTGTCTCATTTGCTGCCACAATCCCCTGTGCCTAATAGAGTACCAGGAACACAGTAGGTTCTTGGGAAATAATAATGAACAAATAAATTGTTTGTTTTCCTTTTTAGGCAATTTTAGCTAAGAAAATAATCATCTATTATTCCTTTCAAGATATACACAATCTCTCAGGATGTCAGAATTTGTCTGGTGAATTCCTTTGACAAAGTGTCCATACACTTTTTTAATGTTGCATTTGGGGCCTGCAGTTTATTTCTAATTATTTCACTAATTTATAGATCACTAAAAGGTAAACAAAGTAACCCAAGGAAATAAAAATGGACACTAACATGTCTGCATGAACACTAGGAAACATAGCAGACTTAGCTTGTAGCTGACAGGTTTGACTCTCCAGTCTTGCTCTCCACAGGACAAGTGAAGTAAATCAGGTGTTTGGACTAAATGACTAAGGCAGCACTGCTGCCCCTTTCCAGCTGTATAACTTGTGCCAATTCCTGTTAAATGGCACCCATATCCATAAGCTTTGGGATGCTGAGCCACATCCTGTCATGTTCTCCTCTCACTGAAAATAAAAAAAAAGCTCCCATTAAGACTAGAACTGTTGAGTTGTACAGATATCTTATTTGGTAAATATTTTGCTTTTGAAGCATCAGTGACTAATCACATCTGCTTCCTTTAGTTACAAATGTATCCAATCAGGTAAAATTCCAAATGAAATACATAATCCACCAGTCATTGCATTATACAGTACAATGGGAGCCTTAAGCCTTGAGAAATATATGTATTAAGTATGCATGTATTCATCAAATCAAACAAAGAAGCTAATGGGTTTCTGATTAGTGTTCTAACTTTATTATGGTGATACTTGCATCTCACCCTGACTCATCTAAAACATGTGAACAAAATGCTATTAAGTTTGATAAACAGTCTGTTATGTGCCATCATTCTGGCTAAATACCCCACAGTGAATTTTGCCTAAAATATCTTTCTTGAAAATAAAGGGCAAATAAAAAGCTGCTAAGGTGAGGTGCCCTTCTAGTTTAACCTCAAAAATATGTAATTCTTTATGTGAAAACTGAAACCAAGATTATTAACCTCATTTAGGATGCATAAAAGATCACAATTCCAAAGAGACTGTTAATGGACATTAATGGACAGTGGCTAGTTAAATCCATAATTAGGTATTCAGAAAAACAGCAAATACGTTTTTATTAAATATTTTAAAAATACAGATTTTGTGGCAACTTATAAAGAAACTGGTACTTTGAACTGGAACTATAACCATTTCCAAATCAAAGCAATTACCCTGTTTAGTGGTGGCCCACATGAATGTATAATTTTGTTTTGTTTTAATCCTCACCTGAGGATATGCTTCCACTGATTTTTTTTTAGAGAGAGGGAAGGAGGAAGGAAGAGAGGGAGGGAGAGAAACATTAATCAGTTGCCTCCTCCTGCATGTGCTCTGATCAGGAATTGAATCCACAACATTTTTGGTATATGGGTTGATGCTCCAACCAACTGAGCAACCTGGGTAGGGCTGCAAAATTTTGTTTTTAAGAAAAAGATGACTGTTACAATTAGGTATATAACCATTTAGTTATACTTAAATTCTGTTAAAAAAAAATTCTTTTAAAGAATCCAATTTAAACATCTTATGGTTTTCTTCAGTGACTTTCTCTAAGCAGAGGTACTCCTTGATGAACAGAACTCAGGAAACTATTTGACTACACCCAGATCATACTGATATCTGCAATATAGGCCTCTCCAAGGAAGCCCAGCTCCAACTTGTGAAGGCCCAGTTCAGAATATAACTATGAGATAATAACTTATGATAGTACTAATCATTATCAAAAATTAACAACTTTGGGTATCTTTGTTTTGGGTTTCTGCGGTTTAGGCACATCCAAAATTTCTTCATAGTCTGCACTCATTCCCTTTGCCCAGCGACCAACTGTAACCACTCGATCTGTAAAGGAATAGGAAAGTCAGAATGTAAGGAAAACAGTAGCTAAATACATCCACCTAGACTGGTTTGGGTTTAGCAAAGAGCTAGTTTTGATATGAATAATCACAAGGAGGGAATATTCCATCACTGAAAATAAGTGAGTAATCCTGTAATTGATTATAACCCTTGATTTCCGAGTACCACAGGCAATTTCTCATCCCAATTAGGGAAATGCAGCAACTGCTTTGCAGTGCACAAACTGATGAGAAAGCACTTTCTTTCTTTCCCAGAGTTCATCATTACAGAGTCAATGAATTCCAAGAGTCTGTAAACAGCAAGACTTATGAAGCATCACTTTTAAATGCACAAGATTCCACCTGTGAAATTATACAACATCTGCTTGTCAGTCTTGTCATTTGGGAAGTGGCAATCCTCCCAGGAGGGAGAATTCAAACTCCACTTCATCATTTCAATCTTACTGCCTACAAAGTAGTAAACACTATCTTCTCACAAGATTATAAACAAGAACTCTTGGTTTTCAAATTTAAATGTTAGGGGTAGGAAGTAAAAATGAGTTGACTTATTTATGTAGTAATATGACTATTTGATATAAAATGTGTTTTTCACCCTGGCCAGTTTTGCTCGGCGGTTAGAGCGTTGGCCTGCAGTCCAGAGAGACCTGGGTTCAGTTCCCTCTAAAGACATGTACCTCGGTTGCAGTTTGTCCCTGGTTTGTGGTTGGGTCGTGTGGGTGGCAACCACTCGATGTGTCCCTTTCACATCAATGTTTCTCTCTCTCTCCCACCCACTCTATCTGAACAAAATATTGAAAAATGACCTCAGGTGAGGATTAAAAAAAAAGTGTTTTTTCCTAAGAAGCGCTACTGGGCTATCCTACTATCTTGCTTTCTTGCACAAAGGATCATCATCATTCTAATCTAGATAAACTAAGGTGATAATGGTCTTCACTTCCCTCCAGTCTGCCATAGGTATAGTGAACATTTATAAAGTTTTTTGATGACCAAGGGTAGTATTTCATTACTAAGAAAATATAACTAGGCAGATACTGTGTGGACAACAGAATTTTTAATATTTTTGGCAGTTTTTGCAACCAACTCTGAATCCTTCAGATACACAAGCAGCAAAGCGTATGTGAGGATACTCAATTATAAGAATATTGAAAGCTACTTACATATTTATTTTCCTAGTGAATCTATACTTTTTATTAAGTAACAGAACTGGTTCTATTATTAACTTAGTTATCAAATATAAGTGTTTATGAATAAGATGCTTTATAACATCACGGTCCTTTTACTGGTCACTTTTTTTCCCACCTGAGAACAGCAGCTAATGCTCAGTTAGTACTCACCTGACAGAGAAATGACTGAGTCATCACTGCAACAAGAAACCAGGCTGCCTTAAAATCAGGAGTACCCCAATGGGTTATTAATAACAAAATGCAGCAAAAACACAGAGAATTACTAATTTTACCCCTTCTAAATGAGAGCCAGAGATCTTACCTGAATTCTGACTTTGAGGGCAATCTTTCTTAAAATGTCCCACAGAGCCACAAAGTCTGCAGCAACCACCTAGTAAAAGAACAAAGTCATTGAAAACCTCTCACACTTACATAGGGCTTTTAATATCGCAAAGCACTTTTATACCTTATTTGGTCCTCACAACCTTGTCAGTTGTAAAAGTAGCTAGAGCCAGGAACATAGGTGGGTGCCCCACTCCTATTAATAAATTCATTCTCCATTCCTCTTGATCTCACAGAGCACTACCTGCACCCACCCATTTGTTGCACTTGGCCTTCAGAGGAGGAGTAGGAAAGAAGAGAGAGATGAAGGAAGGTGCTTGTCCTCTGGAGTGCCAAGAGCCACTGCATAGAAACCTGGACTATGGTTAGATAGGCAAGGGTTTGTGAACTCTTACACCTGTGAGTAAAATTTGTGTGCTAATGCATTCACTGAGGATGTCCAAAGTTTTTATTACATTCCCTAATGATCAATGACTCCCCAAAAGGTTAGAAACCACTGCTCTGCTGTAGAGGTCAGATGGGGGTGAGCAGTTATGAAAAGAATGAAAATTAACTTTTGTTTCTGGACCTTCTATCTGCCAGGCACACTAATCCTAATTAACATGCCCATTTACCTACTTTACACAACATTCTAGTGCTGTGAATTATAACACGCGTGGTTTCTACAATGAGTCTTTTGCATAATGATCATGCTCATAATGTTAAGTGAGTTACTCAGGAAAATGACCCTATAGAATAGAAACCAGGTTGAACTCTCACTTTTTTTTTTATCCTCACCCGAGGACATTTTTGCATTTATCTTCAGATAGAGTGGGATGGGGGAGTTGGGGGGGGTGGTGAGAGAGAGAGAGAAAGAGAGAAACACTGATGTGAGAGACACAAATCGATTGGTTGCCTCCCACATGACCCTAACCAGGTCTGGGGATGAACCACAACCAAGGTACATGACCTTGGACAGAATTGAACCCGCAACTCTTTGGTCTATGGGCCGATGCTCTAACAGCTGAGCCAAACTGGCCAGGGTTCTAAATCTTATATTTAAAGTCTTATACTAGTTTGAGATTTAATCCCTTTGCTTCTGTTATGTTTGAAAGTAGAAATTTATAATATATTCTCATAATGATGCTAAAGCAAGCACAGAATTTGAAATATTCACCTGAGTTATTTCTGATTTGATTTATTAATATATAGGTCATATTACCCAAAAAGTCCAGTACATAGAATAGCACTCAATAAAAATAATAAAATTCTCAAGGTTTTGCTACTTACTCAAAATTTACTTAAGAACTGATTAACAGTGTAAATTAAGTATAACTCTGCATGATGACTTACATTTTTGACATACAAGTGTAACAGTACTCACCATCAGCATAGACTCCTTTGGGATTATCAGGGCAAGATCTGGACAGGTGCCCCATTTCCCCACAAACAAAACATTTTGCAAAAGGAAATTCACCTGTAAGGATCAAACAGTTCCTGTTAAGTTGGTTATGTATATTACAAGTCAGGTAATTCATATTACTTTAAAATACTGAGAAGAAAACATGTTTTTACATAATTTAAAATTTAATATCATACAATTTCAAAAAGTGGCACACTCATAACCCGGTCAACAGAGAAACCCCATTGGCTACTTATTGGCCACTTTCCCACTTTTGATTAAGCAAATCAAAAACTGATAAGAAAAACAAACAAACATACCAAGAGCTGGGTCTACTTTAGCCCTGCACTTGGTTATTTCGTGCTCTGTAGAGCCACACCGATAACATATTCCAGTGCCCATATCTTGATTCTCAAGGGCAGCCGGGCAATCTGCAATCCCATGGCCAGGTTGTCTGCAATGAAAACATACCTGGGAAAACAAAATATGAGTTTCTACACTCTAAAACTGCACTTTATCAATTCTTGTTACGAAAAATATCTTTAAAACACTTCTCATTTTAAGGTTATCTAGCACTTTTTCTGAAATCTCAAATTTTATCCATAGAAAAATGTTTCACACAATGCTAAAGAATAAGAAATGCCTTTTTCATCAGGGTCTCAGTGTTTTTGAATCCATCAATCTCAGACACAAAGTTACAAGTGGCTTTGTAGGAAATAATCACTTAAATGAATTAAGCGACTATGGACTATATATTTCATTAATGGGGCTGTCTTACTAGAAAAACTGAGTTTTTTGGAGTAAACAACGGCCACAAAAACTATCACTCAAAATTAACACTTGCACTTTTAAAGTTCATATAATTGGATTAATTTGGGTTTGGTGATACAGTGCATAAAATGTATTTCATACCAAAAAAGTATATCTTGCAGTTTTTGTATCTTTATAATACATATTAATAGTAAAAAATAGATGTTTCATTTTCAGAATGTGTACACAATTCATTTTAAAGGAATAATTCTAATATGAATTATTTGGCACCAACATAGCATAACACTGAACATGGTTTGCTTGTTTTACATACTATCTAGATGTTCAACCAACTGAGCCACACTGGCAAGGGCTAAATAATTATCTTATTAAATATGACACTGTATAGAAATAATCCTGCAAATGTCAGAAACTACATTTATGGCGGCTATAACATTTCAAATCTGCATTTGGTATGGACAGTGCTCTACATTTAGTAATTCTAATAAAAAAATGGAGGTGTAAAATGATAACAAATCCTGATTCTTTCATAGTATCCTGCTAGAAAACTTGGGAAATTCACTTAGAGAAGGGAAAGAGTTATATTAAGTATTTCATTTCCTGTATCTGACAGTTTAAAATCTAGGGCTCGTCCTGGTCAGGTGGCACAGTTGGTTGTAGGTTTGATTCCTGGTCAGGGCATATACCTAGGTTGCAGGATCGATCCCTCGTCGGGGCTTGTACAGGAAGCAACTGATTGATGTTTTTCTCTCACATCGATGTTCTCTCTCTCTAAAATCAATAAACATACACGCAGTTGAGGAAAAAAACAAAACAGAAAAACCTGTGGCCCACAGCATTCCTCTGCATATAAAACAGAGAGGGAGGGAGCACTGACTAGGGAGAATCTGGAAGAGCTGTAACTTGGCTGCTCAATTACTAACTACGTGATTCTTATTAGAGCTCCTTCTTGTGTCTCAGTTTTTTATGGCTAAAGATAAAAGTACACCCTTTTCAAGTAATGGGAACCACACATATTTAACCTGTTGCACTTCACCTTCCTACTTATTTTGACCTTTTTAAAAAATGGCTGTTTGAAAAACAGCTAATTAAAGGCCGATGTGAAAACAGAGGATTTGAAGTCAGACTCTGGGTTTGAAAACTTTTTTTTTTTTTTGGTCTGGACTACATGGTTAGCAATCCATTTAGGTTCATATTTATTTAAAACACATATGATTGGCACCAGACAGTATTCTATATAATCAAGTATTAACTTTTCCTGGATTTGAATGTCACATTTGCTACTAGCTAAGTAGTTTTTTACAAGATACTTAACCTGTCTGCATATTAGTGTTTTCTACCCATAAGATGGGAATGCCACTGAATTTGTAGTTTTGTTGTGATAATTAATCAGTACATTAAGTACCTAGCATCTAGTTATGACCAGCCCTCAAAAAGATGCTTTATAAACTTAGTACGGAACAGCAATCAGACTGCTAAATATGAGTATATAATTCAGTTTCTAGCCATATGAAGTAATACTTTGGTAGAAGTGATAATCTTACCATTGCATTTTTCTTTGCTGCTTGCCTTTTTAATCGTCTTCCTTCCCTACGACTATCTTTCTTTAAAGCAATTGCAATTTCTTCCCTCACTTCCTGACTGTCTGTTGCTGTCATATCCCCATTGTGAACCATCTGTGAGTTTTGTCTTAGGTAGTCCATGAATCCATTCACATCTTCATTTAAGTACTCCTTTTTCTTTTTGTTCTTTTTGTGTTTTGCTTGGGGTGCATCATTTTTAAGGGACAGCCTACTGGCTTCAAGTTGTTTACTCTTTGGTAGGTTTTGGCTTTTTTGCTCAAAGGACCCCTTCTTCATATCCTCCCATGATGTTGCAGGCAAGGGTCTTTTGTTATGTGTGGTAGTAACTCGTGCCCACCTGGTCATGGTTTCATCAGAGGTACGGTATCAATCTTTAAGAGAAGCATGGCAGTTAGTTACCATTAAAAGAAATAAAAACTAAACTATAATACGTTTTATATAATTACATTACATATGTTAAAGTTTTGATGATTAAAACATGTTTATTTATTTTATTTAGATATTTATACATTTAATTCTATGTTCTGCATAGGCATGCCTGTTATATAAATCTAGCCCTTACCAGAGAAGCTACCACACCAGTAAAAAACAAAAAATACATTTACTATCATATAAATATTTGCTTTAAATAGGAAGATAGTAAGAAACCAAATTATTTCGCAAAATTTAAATCACAAAGTAATACAGTGAATGAAGTTATTCTTCCCAAACTCTGCAGTTTTCCAAGACGTTTATTTTCTCTACGTCCCAGGGCCACTTTCTTCCAATCTTGTTAATATGCCATTTCAACGCAAACAATATTCGCTGGCAAACTGTACACAGGAATCCTGTGGTTTGTACTTACAATTCTTTCCCGTAGATTGATAAGTGAAATATATAAACGCGTGCAGAGTCACGTAAAGATACTGGGTCTACCAAATAATCTCAATTATTAAGCTGCACCCGTGTTAAGGCAGCATCGTGGCAACAACCAATGTTTAAAGCCTCAGCTCCCAAGGACCGAAAACATCCCTTCAACACAACCTGAGACCGGCACCAGTAAGTGGGTGAGACGCTGTGCGCCACTTCACACCTCGCGCGCACAGTCGTCACTGCAGATCCTGCGACTGTCCCGGTGAAGCTGGATTATTCCTCCCAAGGACGTGGGACGGGGAGGCTCCGGGTATCAGGCCCGGGTGGTCCGGGTCTACTGGCCCGGCAAGGCCCAGGGGCACTGCACGCACCGACCCCGGCCGCCAGCGCCCTCCAGCTGAGGCAGGTCCCTGCGCCGGCGCCGGGACAGGCCGCGTAGCCCCGCACTCCAGCCCCACCTGGTGCTGGGGGCTCTTGGGTACCTCGCAGCCAGATCCTGTGCCCTCCCGCCAGGTCCCAGGAAACCACGGAGAGTACTCGACTGCATTTGAGGGGGTCTCGGGGTCCCTTCTTGTTCCGCCGCGCATCTTACCACGCACGGATCCTCCAGAGCAGCGGAGTTAGCCGGCCAGAGAAGCCCGCCTCCTGCGGGGGCACCGGCTCTTGGGACCGGAAGCACGTCGTCTTTGTGACACGTCACTTCCTGCGGGCCCGCTGGGGCTGGTACGCTGGGCGACTGACTGGCTCCAGGCTTTCGTCCTGGGCGGGTGAATGTGGCGAAGTGGAAGTTTGCGGAGCTCTTAGAATTTGCAGGGCGCTGCGCTGGACGCCTGGGCCACAGAGCTGGAGAGTGCTCGTTCCGTGCTGTCTGGACTCACAGTCTAGCGGGGAAATGGTCGGGAGGATCGGTGTGGGTGGGACACGGGGAAGGCTTCCTGGAGAAGGTGACCTTTGAACTTCGAAAGCCAAAAATCTGGTGAAAAGACTGCGGGAGGGAATTCAGGGGGGGTGTAAGGTAAAAGTACTAGCGCAGTGGGAGTGGCTCACTGTGATAGAACTTTTTTTTTTTTTAATCTTCACCTGAGGATATTTTTCCATTTATCCTCAGATAGAGTAGGAGGGAGGGAGGAAGAGAGAGAAACACCCATGTCTCATATTGATTGCCTCCCGCATGACCCTGACCGGGGCCAGGGATGAACTGCAGCCGATGAGGGCTGAAATTGAACCCAGGACTCTCTGGTCCATGGGCTGCTGCTCTGACCGCTTAGCCAACCGGACTGGGGCAAGAACTCTTAAAGACTCTGGGGGCCCTGCTGGGTACAGGGCAGTGCCTCATGGTCCTTCTGCCCAATGCTAGTTAAGCATTCAGTTGACATATTACACTGTAGCCAAAGTTCTCTTTTTAAGAGGAAAACCTTGGTCTACGAAACAAGGCCTTATGTCAGCAACCCCTCCCAAACGGAATCGACCGCCAGCTGTACCTAGTGAGAAACATGGCATTATCTCATCCGCTCGGTTCACCAGGACCACCATTCCCATCCCCACCACCATGCTCGATCCATTTTATCAGTTAAATATCTGTACGCTTCCTTGTCGTTACTGCTACCTTCTGTCTCGGGTTTCAACGTGTCACACCTGGATTACTGGCAGCTGGTCTGGGCATTCATACGTGCACTCCCTTAAATCCATTTTCCATGCCTTGCCAAGTGAATTTGAAAATGTAGATCTTGATCTCCTGCTTTAATCCCTTCCATAGTTTTCCATTGTCCTTAGGATGAAGTTCAAACCCCTTAACATGGTATTAAGTCCCTGCTTGCTTCACTAGCCTTACCTTGCACAATCTTACCCCCTCTTCTTTGAGCTCCATGCAAAGGAACTTTACCTCAGGTTAGCAAATGACCCATGTACCTTGCTAGCTCTAGGCCTTTATAGACGCTGCTCTCTTTGTATAGTACCCTTTTTTATTTTAATTAATTTCTACTCTTTAAGGCTTTTAACGTTTTTATTCTCAAGCAATCCTTCGAATGACCCTGTCCCCCAAATTAGGCCAATCCCCTATTGTATGGTCATGGCAGTTTATATTTCCTTATAGCACTTTTCAAATTTGTAATTATATAAAGACCCTTGTAATAGGTTGTTTATTATATGCCCATTGTTGGTGCTCAGTTCATTTTTGATAACTAAATGAAGAGTAGGTACTTTGCAATGCTTGTTAAAACAAACCAAAAAGTAAATCAATTTTCTTTTTCTTTTCTTTTTTTTTAATATTGTGGCTTTTTGCTTATGTTTTGAGTACAAAATAAATTTTCTATATTCCAAATATTTTCATGGTAACCTAAATTATATCTAGAAGTAGAGTACAGACTGACAAAACTCAGAAGAGGGAGATAGGGGGAGGGAAGAAATAAGCCACAGAACTTATATGCATAAACATGGACATGGACAATAATGCTGGGGCAGGGGCAAGATTGGGTGGAGGGTGTCAATGCAGGGAAAAAGAAACATCTGTGACAAAAATAAACTAAAAAAAGATTTTATGTGCATTTGCAATTAAAAAAATGTTCACCTAGATGGCATATCCCATGGTATTTCCTAATTATGATTTAGATAACCCAATTTTCTTTAAGAGAAAAGAATAAAGCCAATACTATAGAAGTGGTGGGATTTGGTATGGTAAATATCCTAGGTCATATGGTGGGGAAATTTTTAAAAGACAAATTCTCCAGCTCTTGAAGAGAAGGAGCTTTCTAAAAGATGGTAGGCTAGTGCTGTTCACACAGTAATGTTCTCAATCAGCAGGCTTCAGGTTCTCAGCATTAACCTAGTGATATTTCATAAAGGGATTTTCTTCACAGAAGCCAGGTATGTAGTTGCACATAACGTATACCACTAGAGGGTGCATTCAACTAAAACTTCTTTTTAGTATTGTTCTGAATTTTAAACTGTAGAAGGTTGTTCATTCCTGGAAGTGAAGGAACATGATCTCTGTTTTTTTTGAAAGTACATTAAATAAAGATTTGTAATTGAGTAAATAAGTCATAGAAATCTTTGGGGATTCAGGAGAAAACATTACTATTACTATTAATAATAGCAAATTTGAACATTTTATAGGTACCTAACAGTGTGCTGAATGCTTTACCTTCATCACCTAATTAATCCACCCAATATCCTGAGAGATAAGTACAATAGTTTTCTCCATTTTACATTGAGGAAGCAAGCTGAGAGAGTTTAAGTAACTTATGCAATTGCTTGCTTGAACTCACTTTAAAACAGATTTTACTAAGTTATCCTTGCCCATGTGAGACTTTTTTTTTGGAATATTTACTTTTACAATTCAAGGGGTTATCTTTTTATTAAAAATTTCCATTCAGATATTATTGAAATACTGTAAATGTGTTATTTTCATAACAGTATTAACCACAGTGTAAATTAAGTGAGGAGCTAGAATTTTGATTATGAAAGGCTGAAGTACCTCATTTTTAGAAAATTGTTAAGTGTATTATGCATACAGAAAAGAATATAAAACATGAATTATAAAACACATATTCATGTAAACACTGCACAGTTTAAGAAGCTTACCGTTGCCCTGGCCAGTTTGGCTCAGCGGTTAGAGCGTCGGCCTGCGGTCCGGAGAGACCCAGGTTCGGTTCCCGCTAAGGGCACGTACTTCGGTTGCAGTTTGTCTTCGGCCCTGGTTGGTCGTGCGGGTGGCAGCCACTCGATGTGTCCCTTCACGTCGATGTTTCTCACTCTCTCTCCCTTCCTCTCTCCCCCTCCCACTCTATCTGTACAAAAAATGGAAAAATATCCTCGGGTGAGGATAAAAAAAAAAAAAAAAAAGAAGCAGCTTACCGTTGCCAGATACCGTTTTAAGTTATTAATGTAGTTTTTTGCACCGGCAATACATTTTTATGTTTTAAACAAAAATAGTCTGCGCCCTGACCAAGTGGCTCACTTGATTGGAGCATCATCCCATACACCAAAGGCCTGCAGGTTTGATTCCTGGTCAGAGCACATACCTAGGTTGTGGGTTCTATCCTAAATCAGGGAGTGTACAGGAGATAACTTACGGATGTTTCTCTCTCACATCAGTGTTTTATTTTCTCTTTTGCCCTTCCTCTAAAAATCAATGAACATATCCTCAGGTGAGGATTAAAGAAAATAGTTTGTTATGATGATACAAGATTTCTACAAAAAAAATCTCTTATCCTGATAACTATAAATTCTGAACAAAATATAAAAAACAATGACCTGGGGTCCTGAAGAGTAAATAAAAGCAGCAGACACTTGTAGAGGGGAGTCAAAATCTGAAGAATCAACTAGCATATGGGCGTGTGTGTGTGTGTCTACCCTGAGAGTGGCCACAGTCACAAAGTGTATAAACAACTAAAACTATAATGGCAAGCCCACCATCATCTTTGTGGCTGAAGGAACCAGAGAAGAAAAGCATGCGACAGCCATAGCATGCGACAGCCATATCTGGATAGTGAAGCGGGAATCCTGGAAGGAAGAGAACCACAAAGAGAACTCCTCTACTTCTGTTATTTATTTATTTATTTTTTGAATCCTCACCCAAGGACAGTTTTCCATTTAACTTCAGATAAAGTGGAAGGGAGGGAGGGAGGGAGAGAGAGAAAGAAAGAGAGTGATGTCATTGTGAGAGACACCTCCCACATGACCCTGACCGGGGCCAGAGACTGAAGCCCAACCAAGGTATATGCCCTTGACCGGAATCAAACCCAAGACTCTTTGGTCCATGGGCCGACGCTCTAACTGCTGAACCAGACCAGCCAGGGCTCCTCTACTTCTGTATGTGAATGCCTCACAAGTCTCATGCCAGTCTCTGAACCCACATGCACCAGACAAACTCAAGAGGCTTAAAGAAATGAATTGAGCTTTGAATTGCCACTCACTAAAAGACAAAGCCTACAACATAAGTCTAGACAAGTTAATTGCCTGCTTAAATCTTTTTTCATGAAGAATAAAATAACTCAAAAGGGTATACAAAATGATGTCCACAATGCCCAGGATAAATTTCAGGATGTAAACTTAGAACTGGTTCAGTGGTACTTTGAATTCCAGTCTTCAGGAATGATTCTTCCTTAACTTGCCTGCTACTGTTTATTTCCCAGAGTACTCAGTTAGCTGATCTATGCATTATGTTTTATAGCTGCATTCATTGGGACACTATGCTCATTCCATCTTACCTGGAATTGGAACCATTACCATTAGAATTTAAATTCTCATTGTTTTCTAGATTCTCAGAGTAAGAGGTGTTTAGCCAGCCTGGCTAACGTGACCAGCAGGTACTGTAGGACCAGGAGTGTCCAAGGCCCAGACTGAGAGAGCCAGCTCTCTAGT